AAAAAAAAAAAAAAAAAAAAAAAAAAGTAGTCCATAGTAGGACTAGTATATTAGTAAACAAAATTGCAAATCTTGCAATTTTTTATTTTTTTTTTTGTTTGGAGACGTCGATTGTATATCATGGTCATAAAATGAGTTGGATAAAATGGAGTTCAAACTTTGCAGCACAAATTAGTATCCGATACATATAATAAAGGGAATAGATGTACTATATTGCTCACAAACGGGTACTATACGCATGCATTAATGGTAGTATGTTTCATTACAAGAAATTGACATAACTTAATATAAATGGTTTGTAGATATGAACAACAATAAATAACTATTAACATTCTTTGTTTTGAGGTGAGTATGAAGAACAAGATTCACAGTCGATTCCTCAAACAAAATATGAACAAGATTTAGGAGAAAATAAAAAAGAATAAATAAAAACATTTACAATTGATTCTTCAATACATTCATAGAGACGAACTACCTTGTTCGCCGAGTAAAAGAAAGAAATACAAGTAAGGAGTTCGCCGGAGATGGTCGTTTGTCTTTCGTCTGAGTTCTTCACAATCGTTTTTCGCCAGATTTCTTGACGTCCACCGTTTATCGTATCATCGCCGCAATACCTGTCAAAAAAGAGGGAAAATCCAATGGGAGAAATGTTAATTATCAAACAATCGAACCAATATGAACCAGTGAGAGAATGATAAAGAAAGAAAAACGATTGTATTGCGGAAAAGAAAAGTGAGTACCTTAGGGTTTATAGATGGCTATTTATATGTACAAAATATAACTAAAGTTGTTATTGTTAAAATGAATGTTAAAAGTGCTAGATGAAATGCTATCAATCCATTGGCCACCTTCTCTCTAATCAAGTGACAATCCAGCTCTATATGCTTTATCCTTTCATGAAAAACAGGATTTGATGCCATTGCTAATGCAGATTTGCTATCTGTGAATAAGTTAACAGGGCAAGTAAGAGAAAAACCCAATTCAGTGCATAGAGAGCTTAACCATTGTATTTCACAGCTAGTGTAAGCAAGTGCCCTAGCAAGTGCCCTATATTCTGCCTCAGCAGAGGACTTGCTTACAGTAGGATGCTTTTTGGATTTCCATGATATGAGAGAGTTACCAAGAAAAATAAGATAGCCAGATATACTTTTTCTTGTGGCAATGCATGATGCCCAGTCACTATCAGAATATGCTGAAAAATTCAAAAGAGAATGCTTATGGAATAAAATACCCTTACCAATAGTGTTCTTCACATACCTGAGGACCCTATATGCTGAATTTAAATGGGTCTGTGTAGGCTGTGACATAAACTGGCTCAGGGATTGAACTGAATAAACAATATCAGGCTGCTAATTGTTAAATAAAGTAATCTACCAACTAATCTTCTGTAAACAGAGGGATCAGGTAAATAATCAGATGCATCATTATTATTGGTAAGTTTCAGAGATGATTCCGTAGGAGTAATAGCAGGTTTGCAGCCTAACATGCCAGAATCAGTTAAAATATCCATAGCATACTTTCTTTGACACATGTGTATACCTTGATCTGAGTGAGCAAATTCTTAGCCAAGTATGTATTTAAGTTGGCCTAGATCCTTAATAGTGAAACAAGCATCCAAATGAGCTTTAATAGCAGTAATGTGGTCAATGTTGTTACCAGCAACAATAATATCATCCACATAAACTAATAAAATAGTAACAGAATCAAAGGTATGCATGTAGAACAAGGAGCAGTCAGCTATGGATTGTGTAAAGCCATAAAGTAATAAACAACTAGTTAGCTTTTGAAACCATTGCCTTGAATCTTGTTTGAGGCCATAAAGGCTTTTTGTAAGTTTGCAAACTAGTTTACTATTAGGTAGAGTGTAACCAGGAGGAGGTTTCATATAAACCTCTTCATGTAACTCACCATGTAAAAAAGCATTGTTCACATCCAATTGATGGATATGCCAATGTTTTAAAGCAGCTAAAGCAATAACAAACCTTACAGTAGTAATTTTAGCTACAGGGCTGAAAGTGTCAAAATAGTCTATACCCTCTCCTTGGGTATAGCCTTTTGCCACTAACCTAGCCTTGTATCTTTCAATTGTACCATCAGATTTAAACTTTACCTTGTTTACCCATTTGCAGCCTATACAATGCTTACCCTTTGGCAGTTCAGTTAATAGCCATGTGCTATTTTTCTCTAGAGCCTGCATCTCTTTAGCCATGGTCTCTTGCCAGAGAGGATCAATGTTTGCTTGTGCAAATGTTTTGGGTTCAGTGATAGCACTTATAGAAGCTGTAAAACAACTGTGAGAGGCAGAGAGATTAGAAGTAGAGAGAAATTCAGAGATAGGATATTGTGATGTTCCAGTGACATCTGAAAGTGTATTCACGGTATTGGAAGAAGAAGGTTTCAAGGAGTGGTGATAGACATTCAGATAAGGTGGGATTTTGTGAGTTCTGTTTGACCTTCTTCTTTGAGTAGTAGGAGTAGAGTGAGGAGATTGATTGGGTGAAGTATTTGATGAGTGAGGGTGTTGATGAAAATGTGGTGTTGGGATAATAGGTTGTGTTTGTATGACAGGTTGTGTTTGATTAACTTGTCGTGTTTGTATAACATGGTTTGGAAGATGAGTGTTTGATGAGTCATAGATAATATCTAGAGAGGGAGTAGGAAGCATAGGTAAATTTTGATTCTGAGGGTCAGTTTTGAAAGGGAACACACTTTCATAAAAGATGACATGTCTGGAAATTGTTGTTTTCGTGGTTTCCAGATTGTAAAGGGTATATTCTTTACAACCTAATGGATAACCAAGAAGAATGCATTTGGAAGCCCTGGAATCAAATTTATGTCTATGTGCTTGTAAAGTAGAGGCATAGCAAAGACAACCTATGACTCTCATGTGATCATATGAAGGAGGTTTGTTGTAAAGCATTTCAAAGGGAGATTTATATTCAATACTGAAGATGGAACCCTATTTAAAATATGAACAACACCAAGTATGCAGTCAATCCAAAATTTTAAAGGTATTGCTCTGGCAACTTGAAGAATGCGTTGGTGCTTTCTTTCTACTCTAGCATTTTGTTGAGGAGTTTCAACACATGATTTTTGATGTAAAATGCCAAGTTTTGTATAAAAATCATGCAGTATGAATTCAGAACCATTGTCAGTTCTAATTGTTTTGATTTTCTTATCAAATTGAGTAAGGACCATGTTGTAAAAATTATGTAAACAAGAATTTGTGTCTGACTTATGAATGAGAGGGTAAATCCAAGTGACCCTACTGAAGTCATCAACAATAGTTAAAAAATATTTGTGTCCCAAGTGGGAAGAGACAGAAAAGGGGCCCCAAACATTACAATGAATAAGTTGAAAAGGATAATAAGATATAGAGTTGCTTTCTGAAAAAGGGAGCCTTTTCTGTCTAGAAAAATGACAAACATCACAAGGAACATATCTTTACAATGATTAACAGTGATAGGCAATGTAAGTAATTTTGATTTGGACAAATGTCCAAGTCTGTGATGCCATATGGGAGTATCAGGTTTAGAAATGTTGACAGATAAGGAGAAATTTACATCATCAGCAACATTTATAGGTAAAGTGGTTACATCAACAGGATTTACATGTAAAGGGGTTACATCAGCAGCAGTGTTTTCAGGTAAAGAGGTTATATCAGCAGGATTTACATGTAAAGGGGTCACATCAGTTTCATTGACATGATTGGTTACATTTGCAGAAACAGAAACATTGTCAAGTTTAAGATGATATAGCCCATCTTTGAGGTCAACAAAACCAATCATTTTGTGATTTGTCAAGTCCTTTAAGATGCAAGAGGATGACAAGAATTTGACTATGCAATTATTAGATGCAACAAATTTTGAAACAGAAATCAGGTTAAATGTGAATGAGGGCACATACAATGCATCATGTAGAACCAGAGAATCAGTTAAGTGAACAGTTCCAATACTGTATGCATTTGTATGATTACCATTTGGAAGATTAATTCTAGTATTGATATATGATGCAGGAGCAGAATATAAATCAAGTGAGCATATCATGTGATCAGTGGCTCCTGTGTCAAGAATCCAAGTTTTATGAGACAAAGACTTGGAAACCAAGAAAGATAAATGTGTAGGAATACCTGAATGCTCAGTAAATGTTGTTGCAACCACAAGAGTTTGTGCAACTTGTTGATGTTGCTCCTGTGATTTCTTAAAGGCTAAAAACTCATTAAACAAACTGTTAGTCAATGAATTAACATCAGTTTGTGAATCAGATTGAGACATTGTGGATTCAGACATAGCAGCATGAGCTGGGGGATGTGACTTAGGTCCCTTTGGACCAACCCAATTGGCAGGGTAACCAACTAGTTGATAGCATCTCTCAGTAGTATGACCAAGGCGGCCACAGTGGGAACATTTTGGTATGGGTTTGTCTTTGTTAAAGGACTGTTTAGGTTTGTGGAACATTAGAGGCTGAGAAGATGATTTGGCAATCATTGCAAGTGGTTCAAAGGATTTAGTAGTGTTGGATAAGGTCCTTTGGCTTTCTTCTTGAAGAAGCAGAGAATAAATTGTAGTGAGTGATGGTAAAGGACAGAAAAGAAGAAAATGACTCCTCAAAGAAGAGTATGAATCATTCAGTCCTATCAAAAATTTCATAACCGAGCTATGCTGTTGGGCATTGGTCATAGCCTCAAAGATGTTACAGGTACAATTGGAAAAAGCTCCACAGACACATTTGAAAATAGGGCGATATGTGATGTATTCATCCCAAAGAGTTTTAAAAGCATTATAATACTGAGTAATGGTCATGGATGCTTGATCAATTGTACTGAGAGATTTTTCTAATTGGAAAACCCTAGGGCCACTGGATAAAGCATACCAAGATTTAATTTCGTCCCATACATCTTGTGCAACGGAGAAAAAAGGTAGAGATTGTCTAATATCCTTATGCACAGAGTTGAGAAGCCAAGATAATACCAGATTATTTGCGCGAACCCAGACCAAAGAGAGATTAGGGTTTTGTACCGGATTAGAAGCAGCGATGGTGCCGTCAATGAAGCCTAGCTTGTTTTTTACGCTCAGTGCCATGGAGACGACTCTCGACCACGAAACATAGTTGTCCCCGTTGAATTGTTCAGCCACGATGAATGCATCGTTGTCTGAAGCGTGCAGATAATAGGGGGAAGTCGGATCGTCTGAAGGATTTTGAGTCATCGCCATAGATCAAGCAGTATATGATATAGATCGGAGATAAAATCGCAGAGAAGACGAAAAATCGTGAGAAAAATCGCAGAAAAATCGCGAAGAAAATCGCAAACTAGGGCGAAAAATCGCGAAGAAAATTGCAAACGTAACAGATCTCAAAACAGAAAAATCAATAGATCAACAAGATCAATGAATAACAGCGAAAGAACAGACAGAATCAAATCGGAAACCAGCGAATGATACCATGTTAATTATCAAACAATCGAATCAATATGAACCAGAAAGAGAGAGAGAGAGAGAGAAAATGAAGAAGAAAGAAAAACGATTGTATTGCGGAAAAGAAAAGTGAGTACCTTAGGGTTTACAGATGGCTATTTATATGTACAAAATATAACTAAAGTTGCTATTGCTAAAATGAATGTTAAAAGTGCTAGATGAACAATCTGTATTTAAAGGTAAAAGACTAAGATGCCCTCTTATATATTGTTAAGAAAGGGGAAGGGAAAAGAGAGTTGACGAGAGAAAGGGAAGAGGAGGAAGAAAGAATAATATAAAAAAATGTTTAAAAGTTGGTAATGGAGGATGATTGGACATATGATTGGTTTATGTACATTTTTCAATAATGGGGACTTAAGTGGAAAAACAATCTTTTGCAACAGGGAGTGCACAGACAAAATAGTGAATTTCTATTTATCGTCCCCTTTTATTACTCATCGCCCTTCCTCCCTAATTACGTTTTTGCCCTTCACTCTCTCTCTCTCTCTACTTTTTTTCCTCTCGACTTTCTACGGCTCTTTTGACCGTCAAAAAAATTTCGAAAAAATACCAAAAAAAAACCATGACATCAGCAAGACATTGAAGATTAACCATGTATTTTTTTTTATATTTTTTTCTTTATAAATAATTTTTAAAACCATGACATCGGCGAGACATTGAAGATTGACCATGTAACTTGGATTAATTTTTTCACTAAAATAATTTTACTAAAGATTTTTGTATTATAATTGAAAATATAAATTACAAAAGATAATATGTTAGTTAACCTTTTATTTCAAAATATAAAGTTAGATAAGATCTTAATTTAAGAACATTATTTTATTATTTTCAAAATTGAACTAGACCGACAGTCCAACATATTAGACCAGTGAACCCATCTTTTGACCGATCGGATTTACTAGAATGAACCAATTGACAATAAGTCAATCAAAAACGACTGGTCAAACCAATTGGACGGCCCACATATTTTGTGGTAAAAAAATCTTTCAAGCCCCGATTTTATAGTTTACCCATCTTTCGAGTCTTGTATTAAAAAAAAAAAACTCCTTCAATTATATAATATTATACATATACAAAAATATTAATAAATTAAATCGATTCAGCCACTGTTCCATGAACCATCAAACCAATAGCTTCAACAATTAGTCACCGGTCCGGTTTTAAAATTTGGCCGTGTGACTTCAATATAGATAACTTAAATTAAAGCTCAACTGAGAGAGTTTAGAATTCAAGCTCTACTGTGACATGATAACTGAAAATCATGCCTTATAATGAAATTTTCTCAAAATTTCCCTATTTCTTATGGGACAACGGGCAATAGTATAAACTATGCATAGTGAGACAAGAGTCCAAAACACTGTTCCTCCAAAGAACAGTCGAAAACTTCCGGGGAAGTCTAGTCCCATTTAATGTAGCGGCTATATATAGTCGATGCAAAAATGATAAACAAGGGTTGGGCTTATTTCATTCATGAGATTCTTTCTTACGCCTTTTTCCTCTCTTCTGTTTCTTCTTGTTATCTAGAAGCCCTTTCTCCGCCAGTGTCTTCAGTTTCTGAGCTTTTCGTGCCTTGACTTTATCTTCAAACCCATCGTCCATCATCTTCATTGTTGCTACACGTCTCGCCTTGTATACCTTCAAAAGGAATGTATAAATTTTTCAATGATTTTAGTTCAGATTTAACAACAGTTTGACTGAAATTCAGCCAAAAATACAAAATTCAGAATGGTCATAAATTCTTACCTTCGTAATGTTATCCTCAAGCACTTCTTTCTCTTTACAGTCAAACTTATCCAGTTGTTTCCCTATAACAGCTTCAATCTCATGCACAAGATCGACATCATTCTGCACAATGTATCGTATAAGTGATTAGCAAGCATGCAAAATAACAATGGTACTGTAATAATAAACTAAATAAGATCTGTGGAAAAATACTAATACTAATACTAATAATAATAATAATAATAATAATAATAATAATAATAATAATAATAATAATAATAATAATAATAATAATAACAACAACAACAACAACAACAACAACAACAACAACTACATGAAACAGTTTCACTTGGGCTAGCTTCACAAGTTGGTCCTAACCTAATATATACTTCAGACTAGTTCCCTACAGATTAAACAAGGTTTGTTTCACAAGCTTAATATATCCGAAGATTCTTCGTTAAATTTGAAGTCTGTGGAAACACACTGGAGACTGAACAGAGTTCCAAGAGGAAAACACCATGGCGAGCATAAATTAGCTCTAAATAATACCATTGTCAAAAATATCTCAACGAAATAGTCAGTGCTGAAAATAACAAAGATGCATCCTGAAGATTTCCATCAATATGTACGAAACAACAACTAGTACCAAAAAAAAAGATGCTGAATATCAAATCAAAATCATATCAAACCTGGGTGACAAAACTAAGAGCAAGGCCTCCTCTTCCAGCTCTGGCAGTACGTCCCACACGATGAACATAATCCTCGGGATACCTGGGAACGAAAGGGGGATTTCAGTTTTGTTAACAATATACTAAAAGAGCCAATGTCACAAGTCACGAACAGTCCAAAAGAAAGAATCAAGTAACAACCTAGGAATGTCATAATTTATAACCAAATCTACAGTTGGAATATCTAAACCACGGTTGGCCACATCAGTCGCTAATAATATGGGGACCTGTCCAGATTTGAATTTATGCAAAGCAGAAAGCCTCAGGGACTGTGATTTGTGAGAGTGCAAGGCTGCGACTTCAAAATCAAGCTGTTCAAGCAACAAACTCAGAAGCTCACATCCCCTGCACAGACCAACCATTCATTGGAATCAAGATCAAAGTGCATTTCATATACTGCATGCAATAAAGTGTTTTCAAAGAAACATATCAATCTCTAATTAAAAAAAAAAAAAATTGCAAAAGAAAGAAGCATAGAAAAACTTCTCATAAAACTGTAGCAAACAACCGACAGTTCACAGTGAGTGTACAGCTACGTTAAGATTCCACGATGACTGATGGCCTATGTTAAATACTTTCTAAAACAACAGAGGAGATGATTCTTCCAATTTGAGATAAAATTCATTATACAAAGAGCACACATTATTGAGAAAGATAAAGCAAGTGATACAAATTGCCATCCACATTTTTTTTTTGTTATTATTATTTAATTTTAAACATAATTTTCTTATCAAGTACCCATGTAGTACATGGGTATTACTATACTAGACATTAGACACCTATTACTATGTTTAAGAAATTAAACAAAAAATTAAAACAAAAGATGATGAGTAATAACTTAAACAGACATTTTCCAACAAAAAAAATGGACTTCACAGCGCAGATACGTGGGCTGGAGCACGTAGTGGTGGCGGTCAACGGCAGTCCTGGTGGCGGTGCGGCAGCAACTCGGTAGAGGTGAATAGTGGCGCTAAATAGGGGTCAAATTTTGCATAATTTTGCCCTCTCAAACCCTAGTTTTTCTGCACTGTGTGACTTTGTCCGACACGACAGGCCTTTTTCTTTTTAATTGTCTTATCTTTCCACAATAAAATCGTTGCACGTTTTTATTTATTATTTTTATATGAAGTTGAAAGGTGCCTTTATTAAAACTGAAAAGAGCTGAGGCGCGCCTCACAGGGGCCTCTTGCCTCGCAAAAAGGCGAGCCGAGGTCGCCTCAGGCAGTGGCGAGGCGTCACCTCTCACCATGGCGTCGCCATTTTAAAATATGGCTATCCATAATTTATACTGATTCACATTATACACTGCATATTTCTCGGCGAATGACATGAAGAGACATGATTACAGTTTGGCGCAAGTTAAGACTAATTTCATCAGCCATTTGAAATATGCAACAAATTTTTGAAAATGATTTCAAGCAGACTTGTCACTACCATATCAACAGCCTCATCAGAAAATTAGTACCCATAACCTACTGAAACAGAATAAAATAGAAGATAGCAAGACACTTCAGCACTGGATAACAAAAGGTTTACCTGCAGGTGGAGACAAAAATTATAGCAGATCGAACACTCATTTCTTCCATTTTGTATAATATGTGCAATAAATACACATCCTTCACGTTCTTAGGGATGAAAACATACTGCTGCTTCAGAGATTCAACTGTTTTAAAGCCTTCATATGCCGCATAAAAATAAGCTTTATTTGCTGAAAGCTCAAGCAATGTTTGCAAATTACTTGTCATGGTGGCAGAAAACAACAATGTTTGTCGATTCTTAGGTAAGCACTGGAAAATAACTCTCAACTCTTCTTCAAAGTTAACACCCAAGACTCTGTCTGCTTCGTCCAAGACAAGAAACTGCAACAAGATTCTTTCATCAGTCATAAACTTTTACAGTGCAAGCATTACTTTCGAGAAAATATATCAACTTTCAAAGTAGACCATCTCATTGGAAACATGTTCTACATCTACAGCTCCTTACACCCGAAATAATTATAACATTATAGTAATAAATAAAAATAGGTGTACCAAGTACAATCACAGAAATCTCCAGGTAACTTTTTCAATCAATCCCACACCTAAGCTGGACTTGTAGTACATACACGAATGGTTAATAGTTGATGCAATAACACAAAGATACACTTCCTAGAAATTATCTATCCAAATCGATACTCCAAATTACCACGTCAATCAACAAAAAAGAAACGAATATTCATAAAATACATTAAATATTTATTTGGCTTAATTTGTCAGGAAGATTTAATAAAGACTCAGTAACTAGTAATAAAGGGAAAAACTAACAAAATTGTAAAAAACTAATAATTGCGATTAGAAAAACAGACACCTCCACTGATAAAATTATCCAGGGCCAAAGCTAGCTGCTTCTCTTTCACTTTCAGAAACACAAGACTTTTGCAATAAAATTTTGGATTCTCATCATTTTCGCTTCCCTAATGAATGTAGAGATTTTGAGGGCTAAGGAGCAAGGCATTATTCATTGCTAATTTCTATTAAAAAATGTCATTCGATTACAAGTTCCTCTTGCATCTCCTTCTAACTAATTATCAACGAAAAATGCAATACTGCAATGAAACAAATACCTAAACAATGAAAAGAAAATGACCTAAATTAAAATTTCATTAATAAGACCAGTAAATCAACCTTGGTATTGGAGAACACAGCAGGAATATCAGGATTCTGCTCAATCAGAACCTTAATCCTGCCAGGCGTGGCAATCACCACGTGTGGCCTCTGCATCAGACCCTGGGACTGGTTAATCATATCCATGCCCCCAACAATCACCGCTACCCGTAGTCCCAAACCCGACCCGAGGGCCCGAAACTGCTCCGCTAGCTGGTAAGCCAGCTCCCGGGTCGGAGTCACAACCAGAGCGAAAACACCAAAGGGATTTTCCGCGAGACGATGGAGGATAGGGAGAGCGAACGCAGCCGTTTTGCCGCTTCCCGTCTGCGCCAGGCCCATGACGTCTTGGCCCGACAGGATTTTAGGGATACAGTGGTGCTGGACGGGAGTTGGCCGCTTCATGCCGAGCGCCTTGCAAGTATTGACGGCCCATTCGGCGAGTCCCAGGTTGGAGAATGTTATGTCTGCTGGAGTTGGGTTAGGGTTAAGCTCTTTCTCGAGTACTTTATGTGCGGCGGGGGCAGTGGTTTCCGGCGGAAGGGATTTCTTGTTGGCGGTGGTTATGGAAGCTGACTTCTTCCAGGAAAATAATGGAAAATTTTTGTCGACGGGGATTTCGGCATCCATGGTGCCTGAGCTTAGCAAGATTCAGTGAAGACTTCTTTGTAGGTAAACACTATTTGTTCTCGGGTGTGCATAGAACACCCATTCGGATTTTAATATTGTTTTAACTAAGAAATACATGAGTATTATATAGGTAGTATAACATGCAAGGACAAACTTATTATTTAAAACATTTTTTAACTTTATTTAAATATAATTATTTATATTTAAACATCTCATTACTGATTTCTTAATATACACTAGTAACGCCCGTGTGTGCTATTTTTTTTTTAAATATAAAATTAATAAAAAAATTAGTAGAAAATCTAAATACCTTTTATAAAAATATATATATTATTATATAGTTAGTATGACACTTTTTATTTGTGCTACTTACATGTGTTATACTGTAATAAGTTTTGTAACTTACAACAAATAACTACATTAAACATAAATATATCAATTTAGAAATAATTTTATTTTTCTAATGAATTTTAATAAATATTATTATTATTATAATGATAAATATAATTTATTTATTTCATATATACAATATGGATGTCAAATCGAAGATCATGATTAATTTGATATATTATATATGTAAAACCAATAAGAAATACAAAAGTTATCAACTTTTAGAGTACATTTACAATTCAATAGCTAATTGGAGGAAACAAATCAAAAATCAGGGATACATTAGTCACTTAGTGCCTCATTATATAAAATACAAAAAATTAAGTGAACCGCTAAACACCGCTGCCTTTTCGATATTTACCGCCCCCTAAAAGACTAATTTGCCCTTTATACATTTTTTTAAAAATAATAGATGTCCCTCTTTAAACCTATTTACCGGCCAAACCGAGCCTCGAA